CATCATCATCATCATCACCATCACCATCATCCTCATCCTTGCATATTCCACATACAGATGTCAAAGACTTTTCATTGTATCATCATCATCATCATCATCATCATCCTCATCCAACTCTTTGCACATTCCCTAAACCAAAGACTTCTCACTGCATCCTCCTCTTCCTCCTCCTCCTCCTCTTTCCATATTCCATACACTGAGGTCAAAGACTTCTCACTTCTTCATCATCATCATCATCATCATCATCTTCCTCCTCTTCTTTGCATGTTCCCTGCTCCAAGGCAAGGAATTCCAACTCCATCATCATCCTCATCTTTGCACATTCCCTACACCAAAGTCAAAGAACTTCTCACTGCATCATTGTCCTCCTTTACCTTCTCCTCCTCCTCCTCAAAGATCTCTCACTTCACCACCATCATCATCCTCATCCCTGGCCCGAGGCCGCTGGATCCCTTCCCGCGGGATCCCGGAGAGGTTCAGGGGTTCCCTCACCGCTGTCCTGAGGCCAGGGAAGGGGCCCTGCCCGGAGGCATCTCCCAGCTCATCCCCACCCCGCAGCAGCCAGGAGTTTAGGGACGTGTCCTGCAGGGATTTGGGGAATTCTGGGCGTCCCAAAATCCCGAGGCTGGGTGGAAGCAGCTGGAGCTGGGCGGGGACCCTGCGGAGCCTTCCCGGGAAACGGGAACACCCCTGGCTCAGGGGTGACATTCCCAGCTCTGCCGGTCACGCCGCCAGCCATGGCCGCAGAGCTCCTTGGGAACGTTCTGCTCCCTCCTTTTCCGGAATGTGGGAATTGCTGGAATTCCCGCTGCTCCGCGGGCGTCCTCCAGGAGTCTCCAGGGAATCCATCCCCGGCTCCGTGTCCCATCCACGGGCTGGGAAGGGTTAAGTGGAACCCGGAGGAATTTGGAATTCAGAACTGGGAATTCCCTGGACTCTTCGTTGGATGAATCCCAGTTTAATGGAGGGAGGTTTGATGTTTAATCCTCTTCCAAGAGGGAATCCAGCCCTTGGCATTCCCCCATTCCCGGGAGAGCTGGGGATGGAAACGCCACGGAGGAGATCCCAGAGGGGCTGGGAGGCCACCTTGGTGTGGCACCCCCAGATATCCTACAGCCCATCCCACATTCCTGCATTTTCCCAGTTTCTTGCAGCTTTGGCCTCGTTCCTATTCTTCCATGCAGGTTTAGGTTGGTTTTTTTTTTTTTTTTTTTGGGGAAAAAACCAGTTTATTTGAGATGGAAATAATTTTTCCCAGAGAAAAGCAGCCTTGGCAGGTACCTGGAACTCCTCTCCAGGTCACCAACTCCCTCCCAAGGTTTTCTCCAGCAGAAAATCCCTGGAGAGGCTCTTCCATGAAGGAAACCTCGCAGATTCCGTGTTTTCCAGGAAAAAAAAAAAAAATCCTTTTTCTGAACCACTCCTGTCCAGAAGGAGCCTTCCCCTGAAGGCCAGAATTCCCAGAGCCATCCCATGAAGGATTCCCAGAATGGAATGACCATGAACTGGCCCCATGTCCAAGGAACAGGGAGCAAGGATGGGAAAAATGAGGGTGGCACAGAATTCCCAGAGCAGCTGGGGCTGCCCCTGGATCCCTGGAATGTCCCGGGCCAGGCTGGATGGGGCTGGGAGCACTGGGACAGTGGGAGGTGTCCCTGTGGAATGGGATGGGATCGAAATCCCTCCCAACCCAAACCATTCCATAATTCCATGACTTTAAGATCCTTCTCACACCCTGTTCCTCACCCAGCGTCCTATTTCCTCTCTCTAAAGCCATTTATAATAATTTTTCATCTCTAAAACCATTTAGAATCATTTCTTATCTCCAAAAATCCAGCAAAATCTCAGGGAACAGCTCCAAGATCCCGGTGCTCCCTCCATCATTTCCATGCTCCAGGAGCAGGTCTGGAAACAGTCCCAGGATGAAGAGATCCCGGGAAAGCCAAATCCACATTTTGCTCCAAAAGTGTCATTTTGGACGGAAAACGATTCCTCAGAGAGCAGAACAAAGCTGCTCCCAGCTCCAGACTCAGTCTGATACCTCGGGGCTGGATTTTTTTTTGACATTCCCGGTTCTTTTTAGAGGCGGCAGCGACGGCAAGGGACAAAAATCCCACCTCAAACGAGCCAATATTGGCAAAATCCCAACTCAGAGCCACGTTTCCGCCCTCGGCCACGTCTCATATTTAGATCAGGAGCTCCAGGGCCCGAAATCCCTGGGGAAATGTGGTGAAAAGAGCACATCTGACAGCGGAAAAGGATTCTGCTCTCCCTGCTCCAGGTGCTCTGCTTTCCCTGGAAACAAGGGCGGGATCAAAAGGGAGCCGGGTGCCTGAGGTTTGTGTGGGTTCAATTTTGGAAGCACCGAAAGCAAACCTCGCCTGGTGAGATCCAGGAGATTTTAGGTGGCCTTCCCTTCCCTCTCCAGGAGGAATTCCCCAGAAAATCCAGGAATTCTCTATAAAATCCAAGAGGAATTCCTTATAAAATGAAGTAGGGATTCTCTATAAAATGCAGGAGGAATTCCCTATAAAATCCAGGAATTCCCTATAAAATCCAGGAATTCCCCATAAAATCCAGAAGAAATTCCCTATAAATGCAGGAGGAATTCCCTATAAATGCAGGAGGAATTCCCTATAAAATGCAGGAGGAATTCCTTATAAAATGCAGGAGGAATTCCTTATAAAACGAAGTAGGAGTTATCTATAAAATGCAAGAGGAATTCTCTATAAAATGCAGGAGGAATTTCCTATAAAATTCAGTAATTCCCTATAAAATCCAGGAGAAATTCCCTATAAAAACCAGGATGAATTCTCTATAAAACAATGTAGGAATTCGCTATAAAATGCAGGAGGAATTATCTATAAAATGCAGGAGGAGTTCCCCATAAAATCCAGGAGGAATTCCTTATAAAATACAGGAGGAATTCCCTATAAAATCTAGGAGGAATTCCCTATAAATCCAGAAATTTTCCATAAAATGCAGAAGGAATTCCCTATAAATTCCAAGAGGAATTCCCTATAAATTGCAGGACGTATTCTCTATAAAATGCAGGATAAATTCTCTATAAAATCCAGGATGAACTCCTTATAAAACGAAGTAGGTCCCCGTAAAATGCAGGAGGAATTCTCTATAAAATGCAGGAGGAATTCCTTATAAAATGCAGGAGGAGTTCCCTATAAAAAGCAGGAGGAGATCCCCACAAAATCCAGGAGGAATTCCTTATAAAATGCAGGAGGAATTCTCTATAAAATGCAGGAGGAATTCTCCATAAAATCCAGGAATTCTCTATAAAATCCAGGAGAAAGTCTCTATAAAATCCAGAAATTTTCCATAAAATGCAGAAGAAATTCCCCATAAAATGCAGGAGGAATTCTCTATAAAATGCAGAAGAAATTCCCCATGAAACGCAGGAGGGATTCTCTATAAACCCCAGGAGAAATTCTCCATAAAACCCAGGAATTTTCCATAAAATGCAGAAGGAATTCCCCCTAAAATGCAGGAGGAAGTGCAGGTGTTTCCCGACTCACCATGTTGGGCTGCCAGCCCTCGACGTTGACGCAGCGGTCGATGCACCACCAGAAATCGTCCTCGGATTCGCCCTTCCAGGCAAACACAGGGAACCCTGGCCAGGGAGGGAGAGGAGTTCAGGCAGGAAAATCCCTTGGGAATGAGCTCCTGGACACTCATTTATTAATTCATGTGTTGTTTGAATAGATTCAATTATTACTCAGCTTCAGCCAGCAAGGCCCACGGTGGGTTTGGCTTCTTCTGGGTGTTCCAGAGCTCGTGGTTAAACCTGTGGCTTCAGCCAGGTGAATTCCTTGATTTTATCCAGGTAAAATCC